CCCCCCTCATCCCCCCACCAAAACCAAAATTTTATTGCAGATTTGGGGTCCTCTCGCCGAGCGCAGAATGACTCCGGTTTCAAAAAAAAAAAAAAAAAGTTCTGGGCGTTTTTTTGTCCTGCCCGGTTTACCCGGGCGCCCCCCCCGGGCCCATCCGGCTGGGCCCAGCCCGACAGGGCAGGCCCGGCCGGGCGGCGTCCTCACTCAGAGAAAAACAAAAATGTCCTAGTTATGTCCAGCCTCTTTTCGGAAGGATCCCTACAGCATATTAGCTAGGACCAGACGTCATGCAGAGATACACTTCAAACTTGTACTCGCTGAGGGTGGGCAGAGAATATATACTCTGGATTCGAATTCAGGTCTGTGCATGTCGGTTATGGGTCACTATTAGGTAAGCAGTTTTTCCTCATTATCTGCAGAAAAATGAACAAGAAGAACATCCCATTGCGCAGGCATGCCGATAGAGCCGTGTCGGGGTGTCATTCATGAGTACAATGTTGACTGTTCTATGTCGATAGGCATGCCGTGTCCGGCATGCCGATAGGACATGCGATGTCAGGCATGCGGAAAGAACATGCCATGTCGGTGTGTCATTCATGAATACAATGTTGACTGTCATCGTAGTTGTTTGTTGCTGTGGTCTTTTCGTCTACGTGTGCTTCTGATTGTGTACCCTGTTGTTTTGGTCAATATCTGTTCTATGATCAGATATGTCGCACCGGAATATGCCAGCTCTGGCCTTTTGACTGAGAAGAGCGACATCTACAGCTTTGGGGTTCTTCTTCTCGAGATGGTCTGTGGCAGAAAGCCTATTGATTATCACCGTCCTCCACTGGAGGTAATTCTTTCTTCATACTTGCGCCTCTCCCCTCCAGCTTACCGTGATGCTGTTTGCTGCTTACGTCGTGGTACTCTTTGCATAACACACTCTTAGCGTATACCTGCCAATTTTTGGTCCGAACTAACCAGGTCTGAAAGAGACCAACCAGGTCCGGAAGTGTTCCAGACTTTCAGTCAGCTTGGCAACGAAAGAAACCAACCAGATCCGAAAGTGTTCCAGACTTTAAGTCAGCTTGGCAAAGAAAGAAACCAACCAGGCCCTATTCAAACGCACGCTGGATGAAGACGATACACTGGACAAAAACGGAAGTTGAGGGAAAAAATGAGGGAATCAGAAACAGAAACAGGAAAGGAACAGCCCCCAGCAAAAGGACTGAAGAGGGGTACAGACTCTGATTCGGCTAGCGCTGACAAGGACAGCAAAGACAACGGCGATGAGGGAGGGACCAGTGGGACAACCTCAGATAGCAAGCCTAAGTCTGAGTCTCAACGGTCTCTCCAATGGTTGAGGGAGTACGTCGAGAAAGCCAAAAAGGAAAGAGAACACACTTTTGACATTAGAGCACCCTGCCTAAAGCACGTTGAGAGGTCTCAGAAAAACGGAAAGAACGACAAGACGGGATCGGTGGCTGGCATTGAGAAATCGGCCAACCAATATGACATGCTGAAGAAGGAAAAGGCGGATGAAGAAAGAGCAGAAGAATTTTTTGAATGCACAGCGTTCATGTATGCAGAAAAGAAAAGGGCAAGAGAACAAGGTTTGACGGACAAGGACAAAACAGTCCTAAACACCAACGACTCATTCCAGGATTTGCGTCCCAAGAAATGGAAGACAACAAAGATTTAGAGAAAAAAAGAACTGCATGCAAATTTACAGTCCGACCAGACAGAATCCGAAGAGGAATCTCCACTCACAGCATTAGAGAAAGAAGTGGCTGCGATAGTGGCACAGATAGAAAAGCTGGTGAAGCTGAACGCTGAGTACACCCCAGAGTTCACTTCCCTCGAACACATCGCCAATGGCAAGGCTCCCCGTGTTGTGGACTCGGCCAAATCAGCAAGACTCACCTTGATGGGCACCCGTCCGCTGGTAGCAGCCAGATACATGGAAAAGGAGCTTGAATGGCAGGTGGCTACAAATGTGTCCTTGTAGCCAAAATTCTCCAAGAATAGGTAACAGAGGACTTCCCACTGGACCTGTATGAAAGGATGGAGTCAATCAGCCAGCTGGAGGTCAGTTCCCCGCAAACAGAACACGGTAAACAGCAGGACCAGCCAATGGAGGAAGAATGGCATGCCCCCGGGGCCTTCTCCCCCTTGATAGCCAAAATTCCAGTCAACACCAAACTCAAAAGTGGGATGTTGTGGAGACCATGGAGGACAATCACAGCGATACCATATAGCATGCTAGCGGGCCAAGGCATTCCAACGGAATTGTTGGCGGCCTCAGTGGCACAACTCCTGAGCGTGGGAACTATCGGTGGAGACATCGACTTAGAATCAAGAGCCATCACGATGGAGCTGGACAGGTTCTACAGGAATGACTGCTCCGAGGACAACATGGAAGAGTGGCACGAGGAAGAGCAAGACAGCAGTTCAAAGTTGAGCCTGTGCTCGGACCAGGGAGCCAGTGCAAGTATTGGAGAGTATAAGATGGATGGCACGACAACTAAGACACATCAGGATCCGCTAGACGACACCACATCAGCCATGGAGGCAACTGATCCGGACCCCTCATAGATAACCCAGGCTCATTGATCCTCCACCATTAACCCTCCAACTCGCTGATGATTGAAGTTTTCAGGAACAAGGTGAATGCAAAGGAGGATTGTGTGAATTGGAGGACACAAGGAATAGTCATCAGAAGCTGGAATGTAAATGGATTGGGCAACGTACTGGACAAAGAGAAAACGGACGACATAATCAAAGGGTTGACAATCCATGCAAACAAACCGGCCGATATAATTCTTCTGCAGGAAACCCACCTCACATTATCTATTGAACACAATAGAATCCGCCGAGTGCTGACAATAAAGTTAGGCGGTGTCAAGGATCAAATATGGTCTTCAGACAATGCGTCGTGCACAAAGGGAACAATTATCCTTATACCTAAATCCTCTCGCCTCTACACAATAGGCTCGGTAATAAACATGGAAGCAGACACATCATAAGGAAGATGGTGTTTGATGGATCTACGATGGAAAGAAGAAGAAGTAAGGGTAAGTAATCTATATGCACAGAACAACTCATCAGAAAGATCATCATTCATAATAGGCCCGAGTAATTTGATTCCCCCTCTATCGCCCTGCATCTTAACAAGGGACTGGAATCCCACCCTGGACCTTGCCACAAACCGCATCTCCAAATCAACGGCCAACCAACCCACGCAAGAAGCAATCGTCATTCAGTGTTTGATGGTGGATCATAATCTGGTGGAACCTTACTGCACTTTGCACTCGGGAGCAAGAACCTTTACGTTAGTAAAAAAAAAACATGCCCAACACACCGCCTTCTCCTTTATAGATTACTTCCTGATATCAGAGACATTAATGGGTACTGCGAAACAGGCAGAGATCCTTCCCTTCCAGCTGTATGCAGGTTTGGACCGTAAACCCATTGAACTTATCATCAGCTTCAAACAGTGTGTAAAGAAAGGATCTAGCTTCCATAAACTGAACAACTCTCTTCTATTAAGCCAATCCTTCCAAACGGGAATCCTGGACTGCTGGCAGAACATGAGAGGCAACTACCTCCCCATCCGCGACAGGTGGGAATGGTTCCAAGAAAGCTATTCCACCTTGTCCCAGACAGCAGCCAAGTGTCAAGGAAACTGGCAAGTGATAGAAAACAGAGAAGAATTGCATTAGAGACTGCCCTAAAAATCGTGGAGTCAAATTTAGTCGATAAACCATCCTCCCCACTTTACAAAGATATTTTTCATAAGGCCAGATATGAACTGTGTATGTGGAGATAATGGGACTTAAAGGGGATAAGAGCGAGAATGAATAAGTACGGGCTAAGTGAAACAATGTCAAAGCATTTTTTTGCAAGAATCAAGACAATCGCAAGGTCCAGTTCAATAGAGGGCCTCAAAACCCTCACGGACCCGGCGGACACGCTGACGGACAGCGAATGAATGTTAAAAATAGCCAAGGAATTTTACAAGGAGCTCTACCATACAAAGACTCCGACGCCTACTCCCCCTAGCACCAGAGAAGCCCGAACTAGAATGCTTCAATATCTAGATAAAACAATATCACAAGAAGAGGCAGACTCTCTAGAGAAACCCATCACTTTGGAGAACTGCAATTTGCAGTCCAAAGTATGAACAACAACAAAAACCCAAGTATTGATGGATTAACAAAAGAATTCTGGGAAAAGTTGTGGCCACTCCTAGGAGGCGATCTACTGAACTTTTACCATGACAGTTGGCAAAAGGGTGGGTAGGGAATCTGTTGAGCAGCAGCGTGGTTAAACTACTGTACAAGAAAGGAGAAAAAGAAGACATAAGTAACTACAGGCACATTTCGCTACTCACACTGCGCTATAAAATTCTAGCCAAAGCCCTGGCCTTCAGGATCCTTGACCTCGTCGAGAAGTGTTTTCGTATAGATCAGGCAGGCTTCATCCCAGGGAGATACATTCTAGACAATGTACTCTCTCTTAACGAAGCAGTACGAGAGAAGAGGATCAACACAACAATACTGTTCTTCGACTTTGAGAAGGCATATGACCAGGTCAATTGGGCCTTCCTGAACGCAAGCATGGAAAAGATGGGAGTAGAACCGACTTCAGAAAATGGGTACGTATCCTATACAACAATGCCATAGGTTGCATACAAATTAATGGCCTGATGTCAGACTGCTACCCAATCTCACGCTCAGTCCGTCAAGGTGATCCATTAGCACCTCCAATCTTCCTGTTTGTCATGGAAGCAATAGCCTCCTTCCTATGGAAAGACCCTTCCATTCACAGACTACCAGAAGTCGACGCAGGTTCAGCACACCATCTGAAATTTCCAGTGGTAATAATGTTTGCAGACGACCTCGCCATCGTCATACGAGCCTCGGATTCATCCTTTTGTGCCCTCGTAAGAGCTATGGCAGCGTTCAGACTGGCCTCAGAGATGAAGATCTATTGGAAAAAAACGATTGGATGGTGGTTGTCAGAGGAAGAATCCCCTCCGCTCCAGGGCCCAGAGGTGGAGATGACCTGGGAAACACCTGAGACACCTACACGATATCTAGGGATCCTAATGGCAAAAGAAGGTTTTGGCCCCCAAATGGCCCAAAACGTGCTGACCAAACAAATCAACAAAATGGGCTGGTGGGGTAACACCTTTACATCCCTGCTCGGTCGCACGTTAACCACCAATACCTCTATCTTCTCGATGATGTGGTACATACCCTCAGTTTGGACAGTGCCAGATAACTCAATTTGCAATGACTTGCTGATTCCGACTGCCGAGACTAACCGCGAGGCTGTACAGTACAGCAGTAGGTTAGATTTGTAATTTTGTTTGGCTGAGGGCTAAGCGAGAGACCTGCCTGTAAGGATAATTTGTGAGGGACATATCTGCAAATCTGGGGAAAATAGGCCCAACAGTACTTCGAATTTCCTACAGCTACCGTCACTGTGTTTAGCAGGCCCGGGCTACCTCTAGGACAGACAGGCCCTAAGGGCCTAAGCTGATAGACGGTCCTATAGCCTATAGCCGGGTCCGGTAGAGGCCGAGAGGCCGAAACAGAAACGGTACCGGTCGGTCAGTCAGTCCGGTCTAGGTCTAGGCTAGTAGCAGTAGAAGTCTATTAATAGTTTAGAGGAATCGTTTTGGGACTTTTGGCTGTTCATTTTCGCGACGCAGCGTTTGGAGATTGGCGGTGGCAATTGTCTACAGGCGGCATCCTGAGACCCTTGCTGTGGACGGCGGCCATAGCCGGCCTTCTGAAGGTTGCCGGAGCTGGGGCATTCTCAGCGCATCTACCCCTGAGGGTATCT